GCCCGTCACATCTCTCAATATTTCCTCTAACCCTTTTAGCTATAAATACTTCTTGTTTAATTTATTCTTCAAGATAAACCAAACATTTTCAATTAGGTTAAGTCTAGAGAAGAGGAGAGTTAGTTGAGGTTTGGAATACCACACTGCTCTTGAATCCACTAGGTATAATGTATTTAGTAGACCAAAGTACTATTGTCTTAATACTAGAGAGGATAAGTAGCATGCTTACTCTCTTACTCCCAAAATAGCTGCAGTCTTGGATAAGAATATTGTCAAAATAACATTTAAATATTATAGTGCCTCAGTTCTTATCTCAAAGAACTGCATTACATTTTTTTCCTCTTAAGATACAATCCTACTGGCACACTATAATAGTATTTTGTTTGGAAAACTCAGGAAGAAAATAATTGTCATAGTACTTCTCCCCAGGGTACTGGGTTATATAAACACAACTTATGTATCCTGATAGCTAAATGTAAAACTTGTTGATATAGATAATCTAGTGCTAGCTCTCCTTTGCTCAATCCTAGTAAACTGCCATAAAACGTAAATAGAGTTTTCACTTCTACTCATTCACAAAGGACTTTCTGTAAGCCACTCTCTAAGGGTATTCTTCAATCTGGATGGCTTTCCAGAGAGTTCTTTCACAGGCTTAAACTGTTAGGCGGAGACAACTTGATAGACTTCAAAGTTGTCTAGGCCAATCGAGATTCGTTTCTGTAGACGGAGATTGTCTAGGAAGGCTCGGACTTGGCTTGTTTCGTTTATGACTACTGGGAGCGAAGTAGAATAGGTAAAGTAGGGTAGAATCGTAAAAACAATATTATATTGTTAAGGTCTCTTCTCCGTTGCTTGATGATGTCTAAAGCTTGGGAGGCACTTCGATATTTATATTCTGCGTCTGAGTGTTCGCGGACTACATCTATTTATCATACAACTATGTACTTCTTCAATCGTTATTCATGACGTCGAGTTTTCTTCCAAGGTGCGAACACCTGTGGACCCTGAAAACCATCACATCCTCTTCGGTAATTACAATATTTCTTCTTAGGAAGCGTAGTGTCCCCAATAGTAATATCCCGATTAGCAGAGTCTTTAGACTTATAGTCTAGTTCTTAAGTCAAACTGAGTTGGCTCCAATTGTCTTCGCCATTGATAAAATGATCAGTTTTATCCACGGCTATATCTGCAAAGGTGGTCGTCATTACAACCATCGTAGGTCATCTGACTCCGATCCTTTGTAACTTCATACCCAACTAATAGATTTTCTCTGGAAGACTTCCTATTAACTCGCAGGAAGCTATTTCACCAGATTGGTAATTAATCCCTCTGTCGGCAACTCTTGGTTGCTCTCTGGGTAGTAGGTTTCAGTAACCATTGTAGTATTGAGAATCACCCCATGGTTACAACATATTCCGAAACCCAGTTGCAACACTCCGTGAAGTTTGTTGGCTTCTTTGGTAGTGTCCTTTAGAGTTCTAGACTCTTCTGGTGGATGTAAATGTATTGGTCTCTAGTAGAGATCCTTTACCATTTGATACCATCTCTTTGTGTGAAATCGTCCCATTATTTACGGTCCATGCCAAAGATGTCATGTCTTTGAAGCCAAGTAACTCTCTGAGTAGTTGATGGAATTACTCTGTTCCACTTCCCAGGCCTAGTCGAAGGTCCCCTCTCATATACTCTGCGAACAGGATCCGGACGGACGGACGGCGACGACGTATAAAGTGTTATTCTAACACTTTCAATTCTGTAGTAATATAGTCACAGGATGCAACTGAGATTAATATATATGATGACGTGCGGGCCTCGTAAGAGAGCCAGAGGGGGGTGTTAGAGACCAGAGATTCCGATTCCAAGTGAGGTTATCCTACTTAGGGTGGTTCCTAGGTATCGGGTTCTGGTATTCCTAACATAAACTCTACAAACCACTGTGACTTTAATAAGTTGTATTTTTCTATAAGCTGTGCTCATAGTAGTAGTTACTATTAGTTAGTGGCGGGTGGAAGTGTCAAGAGAAAACTGACATTCTTTGAACTTCTTTACTATAGAGGAAGCTTGACAGATATCGTAGATAATACTGACACTTAGTTTCTGGTCTTTAACAATCTGTTAGTATATCTAATATGTCAAAAATTGTAATACTTTGACTTTATATTGCTACTTATTAGATGTCTATTCATACTTTGGAGCTTTCATTATCGCAAATATTTATATAAGAAATGGCTTATGATTTTCTTGGATTCAAATTAATTACTTACTGGTAATATTATCATTAGTTTAGGAGTTTGTATGTGTACATTCATGATATTTTATAGTATTGATACTTTATTCTAATATTTGTTGACTATATTTCCTTTTTCATTAATAATATTATTTCTTTTCACTTATTTTTATACTAACTACTTTCACTATTTACAGGTAGGATTTAGTGTTCTTGGCAATGAATTTTCTTGTTCCAAGGTGGTATTTAGTTTGTTTATGTCAATGACCTGTATGTGTAAAATAATAGTACTTAAATGACAGTAAATTTGCATTTATAATATTATCTAGTTAGTATTATATCTTGAAGTAATTACCTTAAAGGACTTATCTTAAGTTATTTTAGATAAATATATTCTGGACTGCACTTATAAGTTCTCTTCCACAGTATGATTTTTACTATATATAATAATAATAATATTAAGATACTATAAAGTACATATAATAAAACTATGTAGTAGTAACCTCCCTTTGAGAATATTAGGAGAATCATAAACTAGAAGAATAGTAGAGTATTGTAATAAGATTCTAAATACTGTTATATCTATATACAATACTTATATATTATTAATGAAATTATCTTTTCTATCTAATAGCTTGCTACTTTTAAGGTAAAATCAATTTCTAATAATAGCAGTATATAGTAGTAATAATTATACAAGAGACTCTTAGTAAGTACTATCAAATATTTTATTTAAATATCTATTATTTACAAGAAAAGTATAGGAAAAATATATTACATTCTATTATAACCTTGATTTTATTTTTATTTGCTTTTATTTGGAGATTTACTATATGTAGACAATCTTAAGAAGGAAGTAAAAATTTAGTATTATAATATTTAACCTAAATTTATTAAAGTCTTATAATACAAATTAGTTCTTACAAGGATGAAGCTATTAGCTGGTAGAGGAATATTATTAGTAAATGTGTATGAGTATTATACTTTACTATACTCAGAGTTAAAATTATTTAATTAAGTAATAGTACAGCTAGAGAATATTTTACTTATTTACTGTGAATTAAGATAATAAGAGAGAAAATAAACTCTTTAATAAAATACAATTAATTTCAATTATATATCTAACTTTTAAAACTTATAAGACTTAGATTAGGTATTTGGTTTATAAGTTACAAGCTATTGAGATAAAAGCTAATAGTAATATATAAAGCTCATCTGCTATTATAGAACTAGTATATACTATTTCAAGTTACATATATAATTAAAGAAATTAGTTGAACTGAGTAGAAGAGGAGTAGGAGTTGATAGTTGAGGAGGAAAAAAAATATTATTAAATACTATTACTTTTACTATCAAATTGGATTTTCTACTCCTATTTGGTAACTTAGGAATATTATTTGTTTTATTATCGTGATTTAGAACCTACTAGTAAGCTGATTAGTAAGAGAGAAGAGATAGAATTTACAAAAAAACATTTAATGAAGAAGTTCTATTTTGATAAACAGTTAGGTATTGTTAACAATATTTTAATTAGTTAATTATTTATTAATTGCTGGATTTTTTCTTAAAGTTATATAGAATATTATTAAAA